GATAATGCTTCGATCCCAAATGATGATTAAATATATCGTGATTTTGGTTCTAATGTTGTGCTAAAAAAGATTTTGCTAGTAGTTAGTTCGTTACAATTTCGGGTAAAAAACAAAGCACGAGGTCAGCATAAGCTGTATGAGAGAATAAGATTATGCTCTTTGTCCGACTTTTTGCATGCTAGTTTAAAAGCTTTTGCAGCTTTTGCAGAAACTGCTCATTGATGATTCCTTCGTACCGACTAAAGAGGAGAAAGGAGAACGGAGAGATAGAGGCAGCGATGGAGGTAAAGAAGGAGCGAGCGAGGTAGTGAGGGAGAAATGGAGAGATGTAGTTGGAGAGAGAGAGAGAGAGAGGAAGACAGACTATGATTCAATGCATATTAGGGGAAGAAGCACGAGTGTGAGATCTATTACATTTAAAATGAAGGCGTACGCCGGTAAAGAAACGTCCATAAATAGCACTCTCGGTGAAAAAGTCGTGATGAACTTCATGAACGGCACGCACGAAGGAAGAAATGTATGTGAGAATAAATGGTGCAAGAGTTTGCTATTGCTGAAAGATTTTATCGAAAAGAAGGTCTGCTTAATAGGAATGTGTAAAAAGAGTGAGAAAGCCTTCTAAACAAGTGAGGAATTAAAAAATGCTGAGGTGGGAAAGCTGATACCATTGAAACGAAATCAGAGCGATATAATTGTGCTAAATTGAACGATATTCAGCATGATTTACTTTCAGCGTCAACCTTTATTATATCGATTAGCTCCATATGAGAACACTGAATATGGCAGTGACGGTAAGGAAGGTCTTCCCTCTCATGAAGTCAATTTTTGGGATACTTAGATGTTATTCTTAGACAACGCACTAAACTATTTCTTATTGGCTACTGTTTGTGATTTAAACTAAAATTGCTTGCATCCTAATTTACACTCGCATTCCTCGAAAGAGTACGCTATTTTATTTTGCGAAATTATGTAACGATTTCTATGATGCTGAGATATTTGCAAAACTCCGGACCACAGGTGTCTTCGGTGGGGAACGAACACGCTATTGTCCTTTCCGGGGAGTTACGCGTTCACCACCACACCATACAGGTCGATTTAGGATCCCAGATCAATCTCGCTGTCTGGTTATTGCTGATGGCAGAGATCGAGAGAACTAAACTAGAAAGAACTGAAAGACAAGCGAAACGGAGGACCCACATGGTGTGGTGGTGAACGCGTTACTCCTCGGAAGAGACATTAGCGCGTTCGTTTCCCGCCGCAGACACCTGAGGTCCGGAGTTTTGCAAATATCTCAGCATCATAGAAATCGTTACATAATTTTAAGACCACCTTTTTTTAAGACTTCCTTAACGGCGCAACTTGCTTTATTTGATATGAAGGATAGCTTTAAATGGATCTTACTTATGTACGAAACATTATTTTGGAAAACAACCGCACGTTTTTGTTTGACCCAAGTGGCTTCTTCCTAGCAGCCGTTGGAAATGGTTATTTTTCGTGTTAGGTTTAGCGATTCTTTCCTTTCCTCTTCTTTTGTGGGCAGATTTCTAGCCATACGGCAAAATATCTTCCCGACCATCTAAAGATTGAACAACAGAGGCACTGTGTTATAAGCGTCATTCGTTGTTGAATCGAAAAGCCGTACAAGTTTATTAACCTCTCATGTTCTGCGAGATGCTCGAGTATGGCTTGCACTGAAAAGTCATTCGAAAGGTTGGTATAAAGTGAGGGAAAATCGAATGACTCCATTAGAAGCGTGGTGTTTAGTTGCGCGCATTGTTGGCGGTCTAGAAATGTTTTGATGTCAGGTAAATTAGGTAAATGGGCTGGATTGAATTTTAATAACTGGGTCAGTATGAGGTTTGGGAGCTACACTATTCTATCCGTTTACCCGCCTATTCAACTGATGATAGATTTAACTTTAAATGATGATGGATCGATGGACATAATAGCACCAGTTGAAATAGACTTATGTGTTTTAGTAAGCAATTAAAGGACAGGACAAACTGGATTGTCATTTTTTAGCTGAGAAATAACTGAAGGTTCTAAACACTCTGCCTTCGCCGTTTTGACCCAATCCTTTTTAATTTTCGGTATTGACTTCTATAATCCTTTTCTGAGGATTGTCGATAGAGCAAAATATTGTTGAGGTGTTTCTCTGTTACTTCAACAACCAGCTGACTAGGAATATCTTCAAATTCACTGCTTTTCAAACTAAGAGGTAGGTGGTCGGACTTTGAGTCCATAAGCTTCAAATCTGGAGCATGCCACATTTTTCTACGTGTGTAAGGCGAGAGGTTAATTTTCTATGCCGGTAGTGATTCAGTATTTGGAGGTCTCCGTCCGAAAATAAGAGGAAAGCAGAATCAACCTCGCTGTTTGGTTGACCGTGCCCATAGAAAGCTCAAGGAAAAGGTATTGGTGCGATGCCTTCTTTGTCTTTCGTTACCTAACCTTTTTAGCCCAACCTCATAATGCAGTTGATCTTGAAGTCCGGAAAGGCTGCACGTGATCTTGCGCAGTATTGCTCTAAAAATGGCTTAACTTGGTGCCCCACCCTCGACGCTGGACGTGTGAGTCTTCCAATGCAGAGTAGCATAACGAAATAGACTACCTCATATTAAACCGAAGGTTTTCTTCAACCGACGTAGCGGTCGTCCAAAAATTCTACACGAGATCAAACCACCGCCTCCTTCGTGCAATAGTCCATTTCTCGTCGAAAAGAGAAAAAAGCCACTAAATTCAAAATACGAAGTCCCAAAACCACCATAAACTGGGACTTATTCGATTCACTAGTCGGCAGTTGAAAAGGTGGCGTTTTCCACAGCATCGACGACCAATGCAAGCGGATCATTGAGCATCTTTCATTAACGCTATAAAAGCTGAGAGTTTAAAGGTCAACAAGAACTTCTATCTCCTGAAACAGTGGAGACAATAGGCCAGCGTGGAATCGCACGAGCTGCAGGAAACCGCGAGCTAACGTACGAACTTGCAAAACAATGCAGACAGGCGATAAAAGAAGATCATAGAAAGAGATCAGCTGCAGTAATGGTCGAAGCTACAGAGGCCGAGAAAAGCATTGGCAAAGCCCAGCGAAGGTTCGCCAATTAAAAAACCATGTTCATTGCACTCCGACGCCCATGCGGAACAATCCAGAGAGGCAATGGAGAAAACCATTCACGAATACTACTCAGATCACTTCGATAGCCACGTCCACCTCCATTCATATGAAATAAAGGAGGCGGATACGTTGTACCACCAGCTGTCCCTTGCAAAATCCGACATGCCATTTCATCGCTGAAAAATCGAACAGCATCAGATCCGGAAAGGATAAGATCTGAACCCCTGAACAGCCTTCAGCCAGTCCTCGTAAACATACTGGATTAACTCTTCGCACGTTACTTGTTTGAATGCAAGGTCCCTACTCATTGGGAAACCATCAAAGCGGTACTATTGTTCAAGAAGGGTGATCTCCAACATTTCAGCAACACTATAGCCCAATCTGCTTGCAGTCTGTTGTCTACACGCTTTTCACTCGATTCAAGCCAGATAGGATTGACAGAACACTGGAAGAAAAGCCATCATGTGAGCAAACAGGGTTTCGAAAAGGACCCCGTACGATGAGCCTCATCTACAAGATAACAAGACCCATCAAAGTATCGCGACAGTTCAAAAGACCGCTTTGTCACATTCATCGATTTAAAGGAGGTCTTTGACTCAACTGAGATAGAAGCAGTTATAGACGTCCTTAATATTCAAGGAGTCCCTACTCAGTACATAAAGATTCTTCGTGAGTTGTGGCTCTCAACGAGTTCCTAGAGCGAGCAGAATCCACTGGACTACTCTTGCACGCGACAGCGAAGAATGGAATATATAATGGAGAGCGCTCGAGTCACTCAACGATCAGCGGGTCCACAGTGATGCATGTGACTAGACAATCAGTTGGCGATAAGGAAAAGAGTTTGTAATTATTTCCCACTATTTAAAGGTTAAAATAACGGATTAACATTTTAGTGATGCCGCCCTTTATCGCCTATCTCCTGAAAAGGTATATGAGTATATAAAAGACAGTGCCGGGAAGTTAACAGTCAATAGGACAAAGTGGCAAAGACGGCAGACTTAAACCATCGGTTAAATGCGTGCGTTAAAATAGAGATAAAAATAGATATAAATGAATAGATAGATCAGAATTTTTTCTCTTATACTTACTTATTCAAACACATAAGTTAGTATTAGCTGATGATCTCGCGCCCACCAATTCATTATGCTACAGGGTTAGACCCATCATCAACTGCGCAGACGAGCCAACGGATGGAATAACATGGTTTCCAGGTCGAATACTTACCCAGCTGCGTAACCATATTCCAGCTCATCTCGTAAACATCCAAATGTTCCCAGTACGTCTACGTAACGCGTCTCCTAACAACGCGTACGTGATGGAGACTTTCGACGTTTCCGCGCTTTACATTAGTGTTCGAATGACTCCGCAATGCAATCCATCCACGAACTTCTTGTTTAACATAAAAAAGGAATGCGTTTGCATGGTTTGTCTATACAGCAGCTTATAGCACTCCTAAAAGAGTGCCTAAACTGCTGCATTTTCAGATGGTCTGGGAATTACTAGGCGCAAATGAGAGGGTGGCATTTGGGACAAAGGCTGGTACCAAGTCTCGCCATCGCGTTTATGTCTAAAATATAGGCTTCCGTTGCCGATTTTGAGCCACTACCCTACTGCAGAATAGGGATGGCCCTCATACGAGGAGTACCGATAGCCGGTTAGTTGAAATGCTACATGGTGCTTCCCTAGATTGCGAATAGGGGATTAATCGCGGACCATAAGCGATATTGCTTCCCTGAGACGCAGGTGGATCTGAGGATCTCCACCATTAAAACGCTAAACACACTAAAAGCAGCGGGCCTCATTCCTCAGACCACGAAACAGCCACCAAATCGGCACCGTTGGATGGGACGAGTGCGGAGAGGCTGCTGAAATCTCAGAGCCCATGGAAGCTACCTGGATCACAAAGAACTATGGTGATGATCTGTACTTACACAGCTACACAGCGCGTACACTTCCATCCGAGTCTTCGATAGAAGACTTGCTCATGCAAGCAAGAAGGATAACGTACGACGTCATCGGCCTGGCCGAAACGAGAAGGCGCCAGCCTTTCAACGCCGTCTTTGACACCGGGGAAGAACTGTCCCTCGGAACATGTGGCAGTAGAGGAGTCGGCGGCGTCGGCGTTCTCGTCAACACGAGTTTGTCTATGAGCATCGACTCATTCGAACAGCTTGCAACCCGTATCGGACTCTTCATCGTTTACGCCCTTACATCAAACTATAACGAAGAAAAAGACGAAGCGTTCTCTATGGAGTCGGAGAAGTTTTACAGGAAAGACCGTACATTCTCTAAGGTGATCATTGGAAATTTTAACATAAAGACCGGACCGAGGACGAAAACGGAGAGCAGCTATCTGAGTTTAACATTGCGACCGAGACCATCTGTGGTAACTCGCAATTCCAGAAGTCCCACCCTCAACGCTGGACGTGGGAGTCTCCCAGTGGAGAGTACCATAAAGAAGTAGACCACATCACAATAAACGAAGGTTTTCTTTAACCGATGTCGCTGCTGTCCAAAAATTTTAGACAGGATCACTGTCTCCTTCATGCAAGATTCTACTTTTCCCGGAAAGAAGAAAAAGCCGCTAAATTCAAAAACCGAATTCACAAAACCACCATAAACTGGGACTTATTCGATTCACCCGTCTGCAGTTGAGAAGATGGCGTTTTCCATAACATCGACGAACAATACAATCGGCTCACTGAGCATCTTTCACTAACGCTGCGAAAGCTGAGAGTTTGAAAGTCAACAAGAACTTCTATCACCAGAAAGACTGCAGGTGACAGGGCAGTGTGGAATCGCACGTCGAAGCTGCAGAGGCTAGGAAAAACATACGCAGTGTCCACCGTAGTTTCGCCAATTACGTGACCAAGATTATTGCACTCCGACGGCCAAACGGAACAGTTAAAGCGTATAGAAAGTCAATAGAAAAATCATTTACGAATACTACTAAGATTTTGATAGCCACGTCCACCTTCCGTCATATGAAATAAAGGAGGATGGATGTGTTGTACCACCGGTTCTCCTTTCTGAAATCCGACATGCCATTTTGTCGGTGAAAAATCGAACAGCACGTGGTCCGGATAGGATAAGATCACAACACCTAAAGAGCCTTCCGCCAGTCCTCGTAAACACACTGGCTCGGCTTTTCACACGTTACTTATCTGAATTCGAGGTCCATGTTCAATGAAAGACCAGCAAGACCATGTTATTGTTCAAGAAGGGTGACCTACACGACATCGGCAGCTATCGCCCAATCTGCTTGCTGTCTGTCGTCTACAAGCTTTTCACTCGAGTTATCCTAAACAGGATTGACGGAACACTGGACGAGAAACAGCAATGTGAACAAGCAGGGTTTCGAAAAGGATTTAGTAGATGGAGTACATCCACACGATAACAAGGCTCACTGAAGTATCAAGAGAGTACAAAAGACCGCTCTGTCTCACTTTCATGGATTTGCTGAGGGCTTTTGATTCAATGTATTTCTTCGATAACCAGACACTAGGTTGTTATTATAGAATTTATTAGGATACAATAGCTGACGTTTGTTTTTTTTCTCAGGTTTCGAACCGCTGCCAGCGTGTGCACAGGTAGGGATCAGAGGGAAGAATCCTCCAAACTGGCGCCAAATAACCATTTAAATGGTTACGAAACTGCAGCTTCTTGGCATAGGCATAGTGGGAAGCCAACGCCCCAGAGTGGTAATTTTAGCGAAAACAAGGCTCTGTTCCACTTGCCCTTTATTTCACACGAAATAAGTGCAGCTATAAAACGTTGCTTAATAATGGCCGGTCTAGAGAATTCCATAAGAGTGATAGAAATACCATCGGACATTCTAAGACGCCAGCTTGTTCGCAACAGCCTATATGACCGTCTATGTATAACGATAAAGTGCATAAATTGCTCTAACAGTAGAGACGGTGATTGCATGAGTTCGGGTACAGTCTATCTGGTTTCTTGTAAAGCGTGTGGAGACGAATATATTGGCGAAACGAGCAGACCATCCTGTGCCCGCATAAAAGAATACCTTGTCGGTAAATCTAAATTAAAACCAAACTAGGCGCCCATAGGATGCAGGAACCCAACGGAGATTTTAAAGTTGGAGTCACTTTCCTCACGCACGAATCGAAAATATCGGCGCGTAAAGCTCTTGAAGCGTCTTGGATCAATTCCAAAAATTCAAAAATGAACCGCAAGGAATGTCCTGCCATCACGCGTGATCTAGCGCCATACTTCAGGGTGATCCAGTGACCTGACACAAGCACAGTCCTCGCCCATGTATCACACTCTGTGCGGCTGCTATCCATCAACTAACTTAAATACTTACAGCAAATAAGCGGTAGGTGCTTAAATGAAGCTGTTTCTTATGCGAATACAAATTTATTTGTTAAGTTTTATCTGCTGGGGTTATGAAAGTGTTTCGCTGAGTAGATCGCATCTCAATTTGAACTTTGCAGGCTCTGAAGAAAACGAAACCACCGAAACGTCAGCTATTGTATCCTAATAAATACTATAATAACAACCTTGTGTCCGCTTTTTGAAGAAAAACATTGAGTTATCAATCTACGCCGAGGTTAACAGAAAGTCGGTTATGGGAATTGCTTTTGATTCAGTTGAGATAGAAGCAGTCATGGAAGCCCTTGATATTCGATGAGTCCCTACTCAGTACATAAAGGCTCTTCGTAAGCTGTACAAAAAATTCGCTACTAAGATATCACCATTCTACAAGGATGTTCACGTTGACGTCAAAAGAGGAGTTAGGTAAGGCGATACCATCTCGCCGAAATTATTTGCCGCCCCCTCCAGAGCGTCATGAGAACATTGGAATGGGATAATATGCGAGTGAAAATCGTTGGTCGGCAATTGCACCATCTTCGCTTTGCTGTTGACATCGTCTTTATGAAACCAAACATTCGTCGAGCCGAACGTATGCCTACCGCGTTCGATAAAGCCTGTTGAAAGATCGGTCTACGACTAAATCTCACAAAAACGGTGTTCATGAGGAACGGATTGGTTTCGTATGCCCCACCCACGCTCAACGGAACGAATATCTTTGACTGCTACAGTTATGCCTATCTAGATCGGGAAATCAGCGTGCTGAACGACTTTGCTGCAAAGCTGATCAGAAGGAAAAGAGCAGCTTGGGAAGCTTTCAAAAGCGTGGAGGATGTAGTGAAGAGAACAAAAAACATCCGACTTCGTGCCCTCCTTTTCTACCCAGTGGTACTTCCTGCGTCAAAGTATGCGTCAGAAACCTGGTCGCTGCGTAAGCAGGATGAAATATCATGCGGCGTTCTTGAACGCGCAGTCGAAAGGACGATGCTTGGAGTTTCCCGTGTCACGCAAATAAGGTAAGCGATCCGAAGCTCGACCTGCGTCAACAATCAAAAATCAATGATGCCGTTCTGTTCGCCAAGCAATCGCAGATAAGGTGGGCTCGACACGTAGTGCGTATGAACGACAACCGATGGACAAGAGCCGTTAGTGATTGGAATCCTCGGCATGTCAAACGCACTGCGGGAAGACCAGCGACTTAATGGTCAGAGTTCTTCACGAAAAACGTAGTAAAAAGATATGATGCTCGACGAATCCCTAGAACGAGCAGAATCCACTAGGCTACTCTTGCACGCGAGAGTGAGAAATGGAAGATTTACTGGCGCCCGCTCGAGTCACTCGACGATCAATGAGACTGCAGGTGATACATGTGATACAGGTGATAGTTAGTACATTATAGTTAACCGCTTCTCGTCACCAACATTAGGTATTTCTCAGCTTCGACTGCGAAAGCGGCTAAGTTCTATTTGTTATTACATTCTACATTATCTATATTCTAGTCGACTCAGTAAGCCTGGAAGAAGCCCGAAATTTTTACCCGAATCGCAATTTAAATTGCCCTTAATCCACAGCGGAGAGAACGCTTGGACTATCGTCGTATGCACTTATTTCGAAGACACTGAAAGAAATTCCTTAATGAAAAGAGTTATCGAAAAAATCATGGAATTCTTTCAGTAGCAACTTAACAAACCGTTTGATGCTTTCGCTACTCCTGTTATTCACATTGTTGAGCTTGCTTGGGCCTATTAATGCATCAGTTCGATGTATTTGTCTTTTCGGAGAAGTCTAATTGCGACTTGTGGACACAGAAGTGAAGGACCACTTTGTTATATTGGAGCGCCTGACCGAACAAACGATCTAATCTAAGTGTAATCGTTGCATATTGTTATCACACACAATATGCTTTTTTGGGTGGCGTTGTCTCATATCGTGTTTGTGACTGACTGAAGCATGTTTCCTGCAGAAGATGTAGTGGTCGAGATGATTGAATACACTACAGAGTGATGGAACCAGAGAGGTTTCACGTGAATGTTACTTTGCAAATATCTCAACTTCATTGTGGTAGTATCATATACCCTGTCGTGAAAAAACGTAAGATGGAGCGAATAAAAAAATGACGCTGTGGTTTTATCAAAATTGTTTTGGAATATCTAAAAGGCGTCAGGGGAATGAAGGAGGTTGGCTAATGAGTGTGGCACAAATTGAATAACGACCATGAATAACAATCAAAGAATAATCCACTCTGAAAAATCGTCGACGCTTCTTCTGCGCAATCAGAACGACTTATTTCCTGACAGAACTGTAATGGGTGACAAAAAATGGATTTTCCGTGTCAGTCAGCCGCCACGGGATCAATGAATGGGCTATTGGTGGTTTGTGCTGGATCATTCAGTAACCGCTGTATGTTATAACATGCAAATGCTATTCAATGTTACTCGGCTGCACGTTTTCACCTGCGGTACAGTCGTGTCATGTCTTTTAGCGCTTATAGTACTTTGCAAAATTACAGAAACTCAACGACAAGAAAAAACTAGTACAACTTTGGTTTGGTACGGAGAAATAAGAACGAATTAGGGATAAATGGCATATACAGTGGAGTATCAATGCTAAATATCAAACCTTATAAATGCGTTGAACTTTCTGAATTAGTTCAAGAGGGTTCAGAAGGCTTAAAATTTAGGGAAAAAGGTTAGTAAGTGTAGATCTTCCGATTCTGCTCGATTCATCGTAGGCCTTAAGAGATTAATCGTTACCAAAAGTGGGAGATTCTTCGATTTGAACATATAGCATTCCTGCTGGGTAACCATCATGCAAGCTCTGCTTTTAACGTGTTACCTCTTATAATGCAAAGCTACTATTCAGTGGAAGAACTCGATGATATTGAGATATTTGCAAAACTCCGTACCAGAGGTGTCTGCGGTGGGAAACGAAAGCGTTATTACGCTTTCCGCTTTTGCCATCAGCAATCACCCTTCAATAGGATTGAGCTCGGCATCCCAAATTGGCATTGAACCCAGTTAAACTGAGGCTGTGGTTTGAACAACAATCTTAACTTTTTTATTCACTGTCTACTACAACTTTTTATGGCGAGATATTATGCGGAATGCGACCACGATGGTGCGGGTATAT